ACTTGCTAGGTTATACAAGAAAACCTGTATATAGAAAAAAATTTATTTATGAGATATATATATATATATGAGCTACTTCTGCTTTATGTAATTTGACACTTTTGACCATAACCTCTTGCCAGGTGTTTTTGCTTTGTTATGCTAGTTTAGTAGTTACACATGATTTAAAGAGCAATAAAAGAATGAAATTAAATTAAAGAGGATATAAAGCTGTTAGTAGCCTGAGGCTGTTTAGGATAAATAACTAATTGTCTGTTACAATCTGCAAGTTATTCTAGAATAAACAACAACCTACTTTTAATTTTATTCTATAATTTTAAATTTTTTGCCACAGATGATTTCACTACAGTTAAGTGTTAGGGCAGAGAAAATAAGAGATGAACTATAAAGTTTTACCACAAAAAAATTTCAGATGTTCATTTAGGAGGCTCTACAGTTAATTAAAAGAAATATGAAAACTGTAAAAATGAAAAAAAGTCAGTTTATTCTTAACATGAAAATCACCTTGAACTCAGACTAGTCAAAGTACGAGTTACATTGACTTTGCAAATTCAAGGATAAATCTTTGGTAAAATTACTTTATTACAAAATCTAATGTTTTTGTGTATGACAGACTCACATTACTAAAAACTTGTCATATTTTGTGAATATATACAGAGTAAATTCAGGTTGGTGGAATGTATAATGTTCAAGAACCAAAATTAATGAAATGCATCATAAAATGACAAAAAATGACTGCAGAAATGATTAGAGCAATAGCACATTTAGATATTAGCTTCTTGTTGATCAAGAGGTGCTACACTATACTAGAATGAGTTTTTTAGTCAATAAGATAAACTGTCAAAGTTTTATGGTTTTCAAAGATATGCAAATTTATAACGAGATGAGACAATAAAATAAAAAAATATACATACCGGAGAGTTGTCAGGAGACCAGCTAATGAGCACCCAGTCACATCCTGTATCTGATTGGCTGTCCAGTCTGTAGAACAGATAACATGGCTGCTTTTCCTCAATAAATTGGCATACAAAGGACTCATAATCTGTTGTGCACAAATAAAATGACAGATTAAATTTTGTCATCAAAATCATTTACAGAGGCATTACTTTGCACTGGCACATGGGTTCTGTGCCCTGATTTTATTTGACAGTGCCCCAAATTCCCAGTTGGTGTCTTGAAAAATGGAATAGAAGACCATGATCGATATCATACTGAAACACTGAAAGTTCCTGCACCTATGGGACCAAGACTCGAATCTGTTAAGCACCTAGCAATGCCTCTGATAATTTATCTTCGTAAAGTTGTTTAAACAATAAAATGTTAGTTTGAAATCTGTGCCTTAAAGTATTTTCTTTACTCAGAATAGTAGTTTACTAACTGTAAAAACACATCCTTTTACTAAGTGCTTATTCATAGATCACTGCATTCGACACGTCTTTATACATTCTTTAGCCTGTTCATCCCAACAGTAGTTCAAGTGCTACGTAAAATAAGTTAACATTTTCCTAAACTGAAAATGTATTTCCAATAATACTTACCTCCATTGACACAAAAGCTATTTCTCCATCTCCAGGGTTTTCACTCTTTGCCCATCTTCGCACTGAAAACACTTGCTTCAGTCTTTTATACCCCACTCAAATGCCATTGGCAAATTCTAATTTGCTAAATTCTACACCAACTTCAATGCACCCTCTATCTAGGTACTGTATATAATCACCTCATTCAGATAATGTAATCAATTTTTTGAGACGTAAACCGACTTTTAGTGGGGGTGGTAGAGTGGGAAAGTGTCAGCGGAGGTAAGTATTATTGGAAATACATTTTCAGTTTTGGAAAATGTTAACTTCCAAAACATACTTACCTCGATTGACATTATAACTAGAATCCCACATTGAGAAGGTGGAGGATTTGGTGCAGGCATAAACCATACAGAAAGCATCTGTATAGAACAGAAGTGTACCAAGATAAAGACAGTACAGGTATGCTCTTCACCAGGAACTCAGTTCCTATATCAAAGGTGGAATAGAATACGAGTAATTGTTAGTTGAGGCCAGCCCCAACCAGCTAACTGAAGTTTCACAACTCAGGGTTGGAATTAAGGGGGTCATGGTACCTATATTCCACGTTGGTGGGTAGGTCTATTGGACTGCAATGTTATATGTACTTTTGATTAGATCCCAACCTGTAGCCATAGAGTAATGTGTTTCGTACCACTGGAATCATAATGAGTAAGTAAGCAACACCACCTCCTCCACCTGAAGAAGTCCAAAAGGCAACACCCCAGGCTCAGAATGACGGGATCATAAATGCTATACTAAACCAAAAGAACAGAACTCATTTGGTCTGGAATTATGAATATTCATCCTCACTCCCCAATCAAGTGGTCAAGGAGTAATCCGCTTGCCCATAGAATTATGGAGAGAATGTGGAACCTGTGTTCAACCAAGGACCTAGAATGGGACCACAATGTTTTCGGAATTATGAGGAGATAGCGGACCTTCTTCCATGAACAATATATGAAACCAACACTGATCGAAGAGAAGGGTCATGTACTCCCCAACCAGATAGTTTCTTGTGACAAATCTGAACCAGAATCACAAGTAGGCTCCCACGGAGGTTGGTGCCACTCCTACTGCCATCAGGGAAAAACATCCAGGGACCCAAGTAGGAGGGCCCCCAACTTTGCCCTCTTTTCCAAGAGTGGAGGAACACACTCGATCACCCTGGAGGAAAAGCCTCTGTCTGCCACCCCAGCAATTGAAAAGTGGGGCAGTAAGGACTTCCAAGCTCCACCATTAGAGTCTGGTGGTGGTGGGGGATAATACTCAATGGGGAGTCCCAAGGAACAGTGCTCTGGAAATTGTGCAATAGGTGAACCAAGTTCCCTAGATTTTTAAAAGCAAACTGACCCCGATTTATTCAACCTGAAGATCAGCAGGGATGGGCAGGATTCCCTTTAGCTTTACTCATGATAGTCCATGAGTGGTGGTCCATAATAATAAGGTAATACCATCCAGTAGGCACCTAGATAGTCTTATGGAACACCCCATTTTGACAGAGCCTGTTGCAACCTGTAGTAATTATAGAGAAAGTGGTTGGTAGTGCGGAATGGAAAAGAGACAGCATACCTGCCTGGACAACACTCGCCACAGAATGGGATCCAGTGAAAAAATAAAAGGATCCTGGAAAAAAAAGGGGTATATGATTGAAGAAAATTCTCACCTCTCGTGAAAATCAAACAAATGTGGTCAAAATAGCTACAGGAGTTAGTCAAAAACCCCTGAAGAGGAAACTGACAGATCATGTTAGGAATGAGATCGGAAAGTATTAGGAGTAATCCACATACAAGACCAAACAATGTCCTCCAAGGGCAATTCAACCAGGTAGCTATTGACAGAAATATGACAAATCTGGTAAGATATGACACGCAAAAGATTCCTCTCCTGTTTCGATAATCCATCACAGGCCATGTGAATCAATTTATCAAGCCACCTTGTTAGGGTAATTGGAGATAAGTAATGGGAAAAAGAAGGATTCTAATGAATAAACAATCAATTCCTACTACCTTGACATGAGTTTGTACAAGCTACATAACACATGAAGGCCCTAACAGGACATAACAAACAGACAGGATTGGAGTGGTCATAAATGTGAAAAATGGCTGGCAAAGAGATTGGTGATAAACATTTTTCCCCTTCCCTAGCAGTCAGAGTTTCGGACAGAAAGGACATAATGGGGCAAAGCAGGACAAATGTGGAATGATAAAGAGTCCACAGCACAGGAATTGGAAACAATTCCAACAAAAAATACAATTTAAGAGAAAAGTGAAACAAAGAACACAAAGCTAAGGGCTCAAAAGGAGGATGACACAATGCATGTAAAACTGTAAAATTCGAATTTGGTATTTGAAAAGGTCATTTGGGTTGAAGAATATGAACAGTTTTGAGTAGACCTGATAATACTGAGGATTCAAAAACCTTCCAATATTTGGAATGCTGAAAATAATGTATAAGGACGCCTTATATAAAGGAACTGTAAGCGAAGCCACACCCCTTTCAAATACCCAAGTCATAAAATGGGATATGGTAGATACTTTAGGATGAATTGGGGTGAAATTACTTTTAAGACACCACTGACGATAAATATTCCATTTCTGTTGATAAACAGCTGTGGTTGGCTTATGAAGAGATTTAGTTAAATACAGAGACACCATAGAAGTTAAACCCTTAAGTTGGGCAAAAGACTGCATAACTTCCCAGCATGAAAATTGAGTTTCTGAACACCTGGGTGGAGAGTGTCTGACAGATGTTGGCTCAGAGACTGCCAATGTGGAAGAGGTAGAGAAGGACATACCTGCAAATACCAAAGAAGCAGAAACCCCGTTGGATTGGTAACATCGAACTTGGTCATCCAGAGCCCTGGAGCAAAGTGCCATCGTGGGCTGAGAAAGGATTCCATAGTGAATCGAGGAAGATCTAAAATTGTTTGAGGTGAGACAGATCGATGATTTGACACCAATCTCATGTCTTCTTGAGTACAACAAATAAATGGGAATAAAATCCCGGAAGAACAAGATCAACCCTCTAGTACTGCCCTTTTGACTAACAACTCTCTTATAACCTGGGAATGAAGCTCCACTCTTTGTGAATATGTTGGAGGTGATAAAGCAACAGGTTGTGCAGATAAAAGTGGATGTGATGTAAATTGAATGACCAATCCTGAATTCAGAGCACAGAATACCCATGGATCCCTGATGAAAGAAATCCATATGACCAGCAAGTGATGTAAACATGATCCCACTGCTCCCCCACCCATGGGATAGACACCAACGCTGTTGTGGATGGTCCGTCTGAGCCAAAATTCCTCAAGGATACAGACAGACTCTATTATGGGAACCAATACACTTTGAAACCGAAGGAGGAGGGTTGGAAAAAAACCAAGAGCCGACACTGCCTAATTGGCACCAGAAAGGCAAAAAAATCAATGATGATAAAGAAAAATGTAAATAAATTGAACGAAATCTTAATTCTAACATCTCTAGAACTCCAACAAAAAATCTGGAATGAAGAAAAGGAGCTTCCTGTAACTCCCCGAGGGCAGAAGAAGACAAACAAACACTTTTTAACAAAGAATCTCTACCCAATAAATCTCAACAAACCAGCCATGAAATCAGAAAAAGAACTGAAGAAGACAATCTGAGTGAGGTAGACATCAGCAAAATCCCCCAACTCGTCCTCAAATTGCTGAGGGAAATGCTGATATGCTTCCAACAAACGTTGGATTGAAGATAAATACCTCAGGACAGTCGTGAAAGTAAGATGAATATGAGAAAATTGTGATATGTTTAAAGTGATCACAGGTTCCAATCGAGACCCCATAGGACCAAAAGGGGGTCCATTCATTGAGAATCTAAATATACCTTCTCCTAGCAGTGATAAGCCAAAGCATGCTGTTCTGATAAACGTTGGGGACCAGTCATAGCTATCGCATCATGTAACTGAGATGCAAATCTCCCAGCATGAACGGTAATATCAGAAGGAAAAACCAAGTAGACACTTGCCATCCTTGCTGCCAACAAGGAAGGGGTAGAGTCAAATTCAATATGAGAGACCCCCACAACCTCACAAACCTGAGTAACCAATTGAAGAAAAGGGGGCTGGATGTGGCTGATCAAAAAGTCAAAATGATCTTCTGTTGAATCCGACCTAGTAAAAGAAGGAGCCAGAAAAAATGAGTCTAAAATCTCCCCAGCTGGTCTGGGTTATTTGCAAAAGCCACCTCAGAAACCCCAAAAAAAGACACCTTCAGTCCGCATATAGGTGTCCATCTCACAATGGATTATATCATAGGCAGCCTTGACTGAGAGTGACCCCCTCCCCTGGTCATTGAGAAACACCAGATAACAAAGGTGGAAGTGGAGAGATCTGAATAGTCCCCGTAATAGAAACATTAACTCAGGAATTTATACCTGTTGTTACGTGTTTTTTTTATCATTATTGAAGTAATTTATAAGTATATGAAGATATAACCATAGTAACACAAACCACATTCAAAGTCGCAACTTAAATTGCGAATAATCACAATACTCCTGTTTGTAGAAACCCATGCCAAATGCTTTGTCAAGAAAAAGAAGTGATCACATTATCTGAATGAGGTGCTTACATACAGTACCTAAATAAAGGATGCATTGAAGCCAGTGGAGAATTTTGTAAATTAGAATTTGCCAAGGGCATTCGAGTAGGATATAAAAGACTGGAGTAAGCATTCTCAATGCTTAGATGGGCAAAGAGTGGAAACCCCGATGTTTGCAAAATAGCTATAGTGTCAGCAGAGGTAAGTATGTTTTGGAATCACTTACTCTCACTTACACATATTTTAAATCTAAATAAAATATTTTCATCATTCGGATGAGCCAGTGTTAGACACATATGTGAAAATCTTGTGGTAGCTGTATCTATATTTTATGATAGACCTAAATATCTGAATTACAAATTTGTTTTCAAAATAATTACACTGTATATCAGTCTACAACAACACATTAACTTCCCTACCATAGACTAAAGTTTATAAATTGCCATTACAAACTCAGCAAAAGTTAAAAATTATTATTGTTCTCTAAAATATATATTCTAAAAACCAAGGACTTTGCAATTGTCATACTCGGGTGATAATTTCATAAACTTGGTATTAATTCTGCAGACCATCCTAAACACTCATTTCACACACATGTCATAGGTTATTGGGATTGTGATCTAAAAAGGACTGGTATTAAGCGATAAAAGAAACTGACATTAATTTTTACCACAGCAGTCTGTGAATGGCAGGCATATATATTTTAACCAGAGTTTGTGCTGTTAAAATCGGACATTGTATCTACAGTTTGGGTAATCCATCTGAGCCTAGTTCAGTGTGAGGTTGGTACCTATATTAAAAGTTCATGAAGGTTCGAGATATTACAGTATTTCAGTCCAAAAGTCCTCATTGTTCAACTTATATAATTTATTTACACAATACAGCCAAATTGTAGGGTTTTTTCAACAGCTTAGAGAAAACAAAATCTTAGATTAGGAGAAATCACACTTTTTCAAAAATATTTTTGATATCTCAATATAAATTTCTGAAAGTATGAATAACATCCATTAAGAGTGTGAGGATCAGCCAGAAAGTGAAAGTCAGGGTTAAGCAACTTTGCGAGTTTGTTTGTTCTTGCTTTTCTATGCACGTGTATGGATTTTTACAAAAGCTAGCAATCTGGCAGAAAAAAAAAAAGTGAAGCTTTCTTCTGGTGCAACTATTTTAAAATTCAATAATAATTAAGCAGTGCAATTGAAATTTCATTTCTTTAAAAATTAGTAATTAATCTCACTATTAATCAACAAAACCCTAACCCTCACTACCACCATAAAATTTTCTTCTTGAATCTGCATCAGTCTGTTCACTGAAGCTAAAAATGTCAAGTATAACAAAAACAAAACAAAAAGATGCTATATAACAATTTTTTCCTTTGGTTCTTATTTTTTTGTGAATAACATCAAACATTGTGATTTTATACAAAAATGAAACTGATGATAAATGACCAGAATAATTAGCAATACAACCACTTTCACCTCGCTAAATCTGAGACATCAGTTACAATTAAATATAGTGTATTGATGTAATAAACCAAGATGAAGGAAGATAAAGGTAAAATTTGTTTAAAACAGTTTTCTTATATTTGAAAGTTATCAGTTTCATACAGGTAACATTGTTAAATGAGTCAACCTTTAGGGTAGTTATGTGTTATTTAATAAAATTAATTATACCAGGAAGTTTTCTGTCTGCTTAAATAATTCTGTGTTTCACTACATAGCAGCAGTAAAATTAAATAATCAAAACTAAGAGAATAGTTTTAAAATGCAATTCTACCAGGATTAATATCAGTTTTTATATGTTCTTTAAGCTTGCCTATTTAGGCTCACTGGAATATATAATACAAATGTATTATATGTCAACTACAGTGCCCAATTTCAACAGATTTGTAAATGATCTTACAGATGATCAGGATTAATTTTCTACATGCCTGATTTACACTTTATTTTCCAATGTTAAGACTTTTCCTTGAAACCTTTTACATTGATATTTGGTTAAAATAAGTTATTCAACATGTGCTGAGTTGTTTATTAGAATAAACATCAAATAGTCATTTATGTACTTAATGGCTTATTTATGAGCACAAGCCTTGTCCCAAGCTTCACTTACTTACATACATATTACAAACTACAGTAAACATTATTAGAAAATACAATACTTTTTATAAAATTAAAATGCAATCAACATGAAAGAGAAAACCCTTAACATTATAGCATAATATAAAAACATTTTAATAACAGTGAAATTGTATTCAATTCTATGTTTTGATAACAGTACTTGTATATCTCACAAGTACATTAATCTCTTATTTATATAAAACTAAGAAATGTAGAGATTTTGCTTAATGGACAAACACCAGAATGTAAGGATACTTAAAATCTAAAGTTATTCAAAATAAACAAATGCTCATTCCTCTTCATATCTTTTACCTTCTTCCCAAGATCCTCTGGGTTCCTTAAAACCTTGCAGAGTCATTTGTTCTGCAAAATAAAATCAAACTGTACAGACATAACAGTGAAGTAACACAAATGTAATATAGTTCAATGAAAGTACTAAAAAATGGGAAGTAAAAATTTAGTAATTATGATGATGTAAACTTGTTAAAAATGATCATCTGAATATACAACATCAGTCAACTTATGTCTTCCTCAACTTAGAGGTTATTACTTTATATTAACAAGTGTTACATAAAGGTTATATTATTTACACCAAAACACCTTTTAAAGATTATTATAACAGCACAGCATTTAAAAACCAATTTCCCCTCCCCTAGAAAAAAGCAACACAAACAATATTGACAATGATCAGGAAATAATATACAAAATTAGCCAAAATAAACAGATCATACATAAATTTTAAAGTCTAGAGAATATGAATGTTAGTGTGTGTTCAATTTTACAACCTGTCATCCAACAATGTGGTTGATATGAGAACAGTAATACAATCTAACATACTGTGGAAAATAAGGCTGTTGAAATGATCATATTATTATACAGATGTATCAGTATCAGCTATTTCAGTAACATATCTTTAGAGGTCAATATTTAAAAAATATATCGGCCAATACTGAGCAATGACTCTTCATCCCATCCTTATGATCTATGAGTTCAGTGGACATGTGGAAAAAAAAAACAGTTTCCTTATTCAAAAGTTGAATTGTTAAATATGAAATGACATTTCATATTCAGCATTCTCTAGATATTTGTTTAACACATGTTTTACATTTAAGTTTGCTGGGATCCATAAAGAGAACACCAAAAGAATGCCATACACAACTTTTTTTTCTTTCATTGGTGATGCTCGAAATTATTTAAGCTAAACTTACTTTAACTGAGAAGGAAAAAAAAAAGAAAGAGAAAATTGAGCATAAATGCAGTAAGCCACCTTAACATATTCCTTGTAGCAAACTAGCAACATGGCCATTAAACATTCACTGTCATAGATGTCATATACCACCAGGATTCTTTAGATCAATCAGAGAAGACATCACTTCTAAATATAATACAAAGTTATTTCACCACAATAAATACTACTACAACTTGACTTCATTACCACCACAACACTACTGACTTCACTGTCTGAATGATAATCAACTGCTGATTTTGTTATATATGTGAAAGGCCTACTTCATAAACATCTAGAAATTTATAGTAATAAACAATGCATAGGATAATTAATTATACTTGTCATAATTAATTAGTATTAAACCTGATATATTTTAACACTACATTCCCTATTTAATCTTTTAGGATATTTTCAAGAATAAGAAGGGTGTATAATAGTATTTCAACCATACTATGCCCACCACATCCACACATTGAGAATGCAAAGGAGAAGGTTGAGCCCACCAAGCAAACAGGGTAATAAAGTCTCCCAAGTGAATCAGAGTCAATATTGGCTCACAAGACCGACAATTCAACCCAAAGGAGCAGGCTTCTAATAAAGAGAGGGGGCCATAGAAGATGATGTCTCCCAGGACAGGGCTAGAAGTTGCTAAATGTCCATGTAGTGGTGGAAATGCAGACTCAACAAATACAATGTCAGAACTTAATCGAAAACATATAGTTGTCAGCCATGAATGACAAAGAAAGCTCCTAATAGAAAAAACTCTCCAGGACCCAAGGGTCTCCTGCAAACAGAGTCCACAGGTGTACAAAGTGTAGAAGCCAATTTCATCTCCCACAGGGTCAAAGCTGAAGGATAATTTCAGAAACAACTGATCACATAGCCCCATGATGGCTGGTTTCTTAGGAGGGGCAGAGAAATCAGCAAAGAGCCATTGGATGAGGAACTTTGCAAAAGGTCTTCATAAAGAAAGGGTGTAAAATGGAGTCCCTAAGATAAAACAGAAGGAGTGTAGCTCCAGAAAACAAGATATCCCAACAAAGCAGTTTCCAGAATCCAGGAAATTGAACTGGGCAATAGCAAAAGAAGAAAAGAAATCAGCATGAAGTGCAATCTTAATGCAGTAGAGTTGTCCAGAAAGAAAGGGTAAAGGGAATAGCAAGCTAAGAAGATGAGTAAGCAAAAAAAACAGAAGAGCATATTGAGAGTAAATGGAAGTCAATGTTTAAAAAGAAGAAAACCCTCAAGTTTGGAGAAGAGATTCAAGGAATAAGAGCACTAGAAAAGACCACTGAGAATGAATCTTAAGTTCAGGGAGGATGTGGAAATTTTGAGTAAACATGAACCACAGACTGAGAGAATTTGCAATGGTGCAACAAACAGGTGAAGGAGAAAGAGAGGAAAACATCTTATGAATTGAGTTGCATGCAAGAAGTTCATTCAAGAACCAGAAAAAAATAAATGGAGTAAAAAACAAATGTGACATACCTGATTTATCAGAGTAGTGAAGGACAAAGGGAAAGGTATTACTTGATCCTAGCCAAGGACAGAAAAGCCAAAAGCAAATGGTGGGACAAGCTAGTCCAAGATGCTCAAAGACAATGCAGGCTCAGCAGAAGGTACAGAAACCAGAGGTCTCGGGCCCTGGGTCCAAGATGAACCAATGACATGATGCACAATAGTGGGAACATTGCTGCCCATATGGGTAACTTCAGTCACCATTGAAAGAAAATAAAGACAATTCCTATGAAGGTGAGTCTCAGCCTCTGGAGGTTTCAGAAATGTGAAATGACAAATTGTATGCAATACAATCAACAAAAGTGGAGAAATGTTCTATTGTTAAGTAGGTGTGGTAAGTCCTAGTAGATTGGCTTTCATCATTGTCGTAATGATTAACACTAAGTAATGGCTCAGGAATTGTGTTCTACAATCTTATAATTTGATTAAGAGAAGGAATTTAATTAATGTAAGAAAAGACAGTAATGTGTATCAAAAGCTCTAACCAAAGTTTTAAACTTTTTTATTAGTCTTTCTTGAAATTAAAAAAATAAAGGTACAAATGATAACACTTTGAATGTTAGCTAAATGTTTAAAGTAATAAGCACAAAATTTGTGTAATCCATAATGAAAAAACATAGCTGCATCATTGCAGTTCTGATGAAAAAATTAACCTTTGGTTTGCACAATGTGCTCAAGGGGAGTACTGCACACAGGGGATGTGTCGCCTTTCTACTGATAGAATATTATAGTCTGATACTGATTTCATCATAGACTGGTGATGTGACACGAGGATAACAGCTGTTAGTTCTGTGGAAAGGTGATTAGCATTTCTGAATATAAAGTTATGCACATGGGTTATGAAAATTTGGACAGGACTTGCTTCTTGTGTGATATATGCATGAGAACAAAGAAGAAAATAATAAAGTTGAAGTCCTCTGCAATGCATTTAATTGTAATGAAAAGGTACAAAGAATTTTTGGAAACACATGTCAACCTTTCAAAACAGACACAAGGAAATATCTAATTGACAGTCAGTTACAATGTACTCACAAACTAGTTCAGTAGTTCTTTTATCACGTTCTTTGAAATTGTTCTCTAATTATGTTTTATTATTTTTTAAATCTAAATATAACAAGTACTTTGAATGAATAACCTCACTGTGCAACTTTAAAATCAAAAGCATCCTACCTTCCTCAATTCCAACCTTGAATACTCTGATTCTTCCATCTTTGCATTTTCCCAGAAAAGTTCTTAGTTCTTCACTAGCTAAAGTACATTCAACAATTAATTTTAACAAATGCCAAAAGTATAAATTACATGTAATTACTAAAAATATTTCATATGACACAAAATTAGAACAATTGTATTATATGAAATACTGATGTACATTATACATATATACATAAAATAAACAAATTATATAATCAACACGAACTGACTACTAAACTGTGTAAGGCAAAAAAATCTGGCTTCAAATACATTGAAATATTTGACTTTTGATAACAATATGGAATGTAATGATATGTCTCTATACTATATGATTTTTTAAGTATATTGAAAGAAATGTGTACAATAGTGCTGAAAATACTACTACTAGAACTTTTTTGCCAAGTGATAAAGCTTGGGATGTTGCAGACAGAATCTTTTAAGAGCAAGTCAGAGCTAATAATGTTAGAAACAACAGATCTGGAGAGTTATTGAACAGAAATAAAGAGATATCTCAGGGCTTTAGGGATAGAGGTAGTGAATTAGCTTTTTAGGAAATGTTTCACATGTTAGGTGCAAATACAAATTAACAGAGATACATCTGAAAATTAACAATGATGCTTGTAAGTACAGAACAACAGGGCAGGTTCATGGTTAAGAGAGAGAGATTTGCATAACATGGGTTCATTAGAGTTTGTGAAATGACTTCATAAGAGGCTGTTTAAATTAAGATTGTACAGAATTGAGGGCTACTAAGATAATTTTGGTATGATTGGTCATCACAAAAGAATAGGTTCAAATCTCTTAACTTCTTATCTCTTATAAAGGATGATGGATGTTCTTGCTAGTGTTCAAAATTACCAAAGTAACTAAGGTTAATTCACCAGATTTTGTGGTTAATCCTGTTGGACAAGAGGACATATATGTAAGATTTGTAAAAGCTGTATCTCCAATTGAGGCAGTTTTATTTTCCAACATGACAAAAATTGTGAAATAATCTGTTATTTAAAGTTGTAGAGGCTGCTATTTTATGGAGTTTACAAAATGGGTTGATAAATATTTGGAAGATCAGGACTGAATTTAGCAATTAGCATTGTGTTTGGAGGGAGATGGGACTCGGGGTAACTGAATTTTACAAGATAAAAGGCCAATACATACAGTTTGGTTTGTTAACTCTCTGGATTTAGGTGGGTCAAAATGTACAAGTCACAAACCTGTTATGGAATTGCATTCAAAATTTAATCAACAACCTTATAATTGATGTGTCTCAATAAACTTGGCTTCAAAACATAGTTTATACTTCAATTTCTGTGTACAGATCTCTAGTTAAGCCTTGTTTAGAGTATTGTATTCAGCCTTGGTCTCCTCACTTTAAAGACACTAGGCTGTTGTAAAGGCCACGAGAATGATTCCTGGGATAGAATAGTTGTCATACAAAGACAGATTAAGGTATTTAAAATTACCTTCTCTTGTGAAGAGAAGGATTAAAAGGGACCTGATTGAAATATTCAAAATCATAAAAGAAATATATATGGGTTTAATGCATTACTTTTTGGTGTTTACTTGTAATAGTAGGACTAGTGGAAATAGTTTTAAGATTTAGCAGGTATGAAGTTGGCCACAAATTAGGACGTTGTTTTAGGTATGGTGGTTAGCCTTTGCAACCGACTACCTTCAGACATAGTAAATTCAACAAAATTAGGAGTTCTAGAGACGACTTGATGAATACTTAAAAAATTAAAGCTTGATTTAAGAGATGGGAATCTGATGAAATGAATGGGCCAACCATGATGCTGTCTTTCAAATGTCATGTTACTGTTATGTTAATAAATTACTTAGCAGGATCCAAGGCTTAAATGAAAAATGATCAAGTTCATGCTAAGAGCAGCAAGTGGGCTTGTTGATCTTTTGGGATATTTTTCAGAGTAAGAGTGAATTATATGCTAGAGTGGGCTCCATTTAAGCCAGTTAGGTAGTAGGTTGTTTGGAGAATCTCTAAGTATATTCATTACACATAGTTTAAACTAAACTTACATAGTTGTGAGAGAACTTGGGAAATTAAGAATAAACAATTAGAATAATTAGAGAAACATGTTTTTTTTTTTTTAAAGGAGATTCAGAGCATAACAAATTAAATAGTTTCAAGATAGATCTGTCAGATTCATAAATAAACATAGTAAAGATTTCATGAATAAACTAAATTGCCACTATTCTAATGTTAGGAGCACTAGGAAAAAAATGGATGAATTCAAGACTTTAACTGAAATGGAAAGCTATGATATAACAGTAAATACTAAAACTTGATAATATAAATTATTTTGAAATTCAACTTTCAAGGATCTACAGTGCAAGTTATTTAACAGTTAAAGACTTTTTAGGTGTGGGTCTTTATACTTATAGCAGGAATGAGCTATAGCCTGTTAGTACTGAAGTCAAGAGGTTTAATCTATTCAAGTTACAATCATATAACTTAAGGGTAGAAAGATTTTATGATTTAAGTTATACAAATAAAAATGAGACATAACACGTTGATCAAAATGCAGATTGAACTGGACCTCCCTTGAACCTAGACTTCGAGATAAAACAATTTTCGGAATATTACGTTTATTTATTATTTTCTAACTTGTTAATTTTTATTTTATTAATATTGCTGAAGTTTACGAATACAACTAACTTCGCAGTTGCGTCATTAATGTATCTAAAAGTACTGTGATTATTAATACTATATCGCCGTCAAATCTAAAGGAATTCAGCTGTTTTCTTTCTTTCTTGTTTGATATTTAATATGTCAACATATTTGCAGTCATGTCTACAGGCTAAACTTAAAGGTACCAGCAGTTGTTCTACTAGTACTACTACTAGTGTAGTAATATGGAGACTTGTAAAAGTTGCACTTACAGGATTACCGGCCTACATTGTATTGACTCAGTCAGTGTGAATGTCTAAACACTGTTTAAATAAACAGAGGCAAGTGTACTGTACGCTGCCTGAATCAGGCAACAGCTAGGCGAAGTTTAACGAGTTATACTTTTGTAACAATATATGCTATGCTTATTATTTATCTATTAAAATAACACTAAAGACCAACAAATAATTTTTTACTTACAATTAATACCAGTTTGGTGAGACATATTAATACCCTAAATAAATTGTACTAAAAACTAACTCCAACCTAAACTTTAATCACAACAGGAAGATTGTACACCCTCTGTCGAGCAATACATTTCAGAAGGTACTGCACCCTAGTGTTAAATACACAAACACACACGTATATATATATATTCTTTTTTGCGAATCTCGTCTTTTTCGATTAATATAATTTTTCTATATTTGCCAAAATTTTATGAATTATCTTAAGTTTTGAAATAATGTTGTGATGAATCTTATTTGTTATCGTATATTTATTTTCATAGTACATAATACAAAATCAATTTGATTCTAGGTAATAACAATTAATATTAGTCATAATTATTGTATTTTGGCACTTGTGTATAAAGTTAAAATCATAAATAACATTCAACGTTAAAACTGGTACACAATTAAAAACATTTTATTTAGGCCTATATATGGCCTTCCAAAAGTTGACGACTCCACGTGTTTCGACTTTGCAACTCCTGAAGATGACGTTTTATAATGCACGCTATTCACAATCTCGATAAATTCGCTCTCTACCAGTGCAAAACACACACTAGCTCAAAACAGAATCGTAAATTACCCGAAACTCAGCGTGACTACTGTTCGCTTTATCATCCATTCATCATCATATCCGCTGGCTTTTCTCGCCAGGCTTAGATACTAACAAAGAGGCTTCGCCAAAATTCGAGGAGTTCCCTGATTATTCTAGAAACTCAATCACTCATGCACCAGTAGCGTCACGGGACTATCGCTGTCGTAACACTGCCCTTTCCTTAGTAGTGTTCGTCATGAACAATAGCCACTTACATTAAACCAATAAATAATTAACAGTAACTTAATTAAATGTACAGAATTTACAAACACAAAATTAAAATACAACAAAGTCTCTTAATTTTGCAGGACTTTTCTTCTTTCGTACTGGTCTCTGTCTTATTGGCTTCTGCTTCACTTGGGATTCATCTGCTCCATCAGGAAACGTTCTATTGTCCATTTCGCTCCAACTGAAATGTCCTGGACCATGATAACACCAAAGCCTGTTGGCATGCACCAACTTTGGCTTACCTTGCCGACCACATTTTATTCAGAATTCATGTCTGAGAGACGATCCACTATGTCATATGAGCCTTCCCATGGAGAAGACAACTTAGGAGACTTCCTTTTGGTCTTCCTGGGATTATACAGCCACATCTTGTCTCTTGGTACAAAGCTGACTTCAGTAGAGTTCTTATCATAGCATAGCTTCATGGAATCAGCAGGCGCTTTTAAGTTCGACTACACTTGATGGTGAATATTATCCATCCTTTCCGATAACACTTTCACGAACTCTAGCACATTTTCAGGCAACTCTTCATAAGGTGGGCGTCCTGTTATCAGGTCCACTAGCAACCGAAGTTCTCGACCAAACATCAACTTTGCTGGAGTGTATCCAGTGGCTTCACGTTCTGCTGTTCTATCGGCCATCAACAATGGAGGGAGTTAGACATCCCAGTCATCTTGGTGGCTATTACAAAACTTTGCCAATTCCTGTCCCAGTGTCCGATTGTACCTTTCTACCATCCCATCAGACTTTGAGTGAAGTGGCGTTGTCCTGGTCTTTCGTATGCCAAACAACTTGTAACATCCCTGAAACACAGCTGATTCAAAGTTACAGCCTTAATCTGAATGCAGTTCGTATGGCATACCAAACCTGAAGAAGAAATCACTAATAGCCGAAGCTACAGTTGTAGCTTCCTGATTTGGTATTGCATATGCCTCAGGCCACTTGATGAAATAATCCATCACCACACAAATGTACTTGTTTCCAGCACGAGTTTGGGGCAAAGGACCAGTAATGTCAATGGCTACTCTTTCCATTGGTGTGCCAACTTAATATAACTTCATTGGAGCACGTCCCTTATGCTTGAGTTCCCCTTTCAGCACAACATGTACTGCAGGTCCTGTAACATTCTTCCACATCTTGCCTCATACCTAGCCAGTAAAATCTCTGCCATAAGTGACTCAATGTTTTCTTAACTCCGAGATGTCCTCCTGCTAAACTATCATGGGATTGACGCAGCACAACTTCCCGTAACTTTCTCGGTTTAACTGTTTGCCAGGTCGTCACTTTCCCATCTGCAGTTTCCCATCTCCAGACAAGAATACCATCTTCAAGCTTCAACTGGTCCCATTGTGCCCAATAGTTCTTTGTCACAGGGCTTAAGCTAGACACCATCTCCCAAGCAGGGCGCAAAACACTTGCTTGTAGAAAATCAATTATTGGCTTCAAATCTTGGTCTTTCTCCTGTTCTGCTTTGATATCTATATTTGGTTACACTTCACCATCATCAACTCCTTCAGTCATTTTGACTTCAGCTTGATGACACCTGGTTATTTCAACCTCTCTTTTGCAGCAATGTCTACAGTTATTTTTGCAGGGTCTTTGGCTCAGTCCATCGGCATTTCCATGAGATTTTCCTTCTCTGTATTCAATATCATAATTATACTGGTCTATCTTTCCAATCCAACGTGCCAGTTGTCCTTCTGGGTTCTTTGATGATCTTAACTAGCGTAATGCAGCATGGTCTGTCCTGATGGTAAATCTGGCACCACAGAGGTAATGATGGAAATTTGTCAGACTCTTTACCCTAGCAAGGAGTTCCCTCCGTGTTACACAGTAGTTCCTCTCTGGTCTACTCAGGACCCTACTGTTGTAGGCCACCACATGTTCGTTTTCGCCGACTTTCTGAGACAACACTCCTCCAGTTCCGACATTATTAGCATCACAATCCGGTAT